TACTTGCATATTATACTTAGGTACAGTTAGTGATATTATCAGTGGCGTGCCGTCAGGGCGAACTAGGTAAGCGGCGCACGTCCGGCCAAAAACGAAGAAATAAAAGGTTAAAGATTTATTACGTCGAATGGCAATGCGACTCATATATTAAAATCACTACTACCATTTATTAATTCGTGTATGAGTGTTCAATTTAAAACAATCGGGTTTCTTCGAAAGAAATTTAATTATTTGTTTTCGTATAGGCAATTTCTTTACAGAAGAATTATAGGAATGACCGGTTATGGTAGAAGGGGATATCAACGTTTTTTTTTACGGTGGTTGGAAGCGCTGTGTCGAGGGCTTTTCAACGATTTTAAAAACTTACCTAGGTGATTCCAATATTTTGACGTTTTATATCGGATTATTTTCATTATCAATGTACACTTTTATTATAATATACGGGTATCAAAGCTATTAAAGTATTAATATTATTATGAAACAAGATTAATTTATCCATAATTACATTTTAAATTGTAATTTTTATCAATAAAATACCTTGTTTTTTAAGGTTTAACTTAAAGTTAATATTTAGCACTTACTCAATATTAAGGCACGCCGCCGAGTATAATATACCCCAGGTTACGACCAAAAAAAATTATTTTCGGATGCACAATGTATTACTATATTTAGTATATTATGTACAACCATTTGGTAGTCTGTAATAATGGCCCGAAGAAAATAATATGCCCTGGTAAAATTGTCCATACTACATGAAAATTGCCAGAAGAAAATATGGCCAAATGCCGAAATGTAGTTTAAACTTTTTTTTTTTTTAAATATTCGATTTTTCCCATGACAATATTAACCCTTGACCATTTTTGTATTTAACCATATTTTCCACCGGCCCTTTTTCTATATGGACATTTTTCCGGGTCCATTATTACCTATGGTTCTAATAAACTGCTTGCATTATTACTATAGTATGTTATAGGATATGACAGGCGGCGCAATCGGGTATTCATCTGTTTACTTTTTTTTTCTTTTTTTCGTTTGAAACCGACAGCACTGAAGGATCTATGTTAACATTACTACTCTACTGGTGCCATATAGTTTATTCGAACCATACAAATTTAATTTATCAATAAAGAGGTAGTTGGCAGTTTATATACAGTTTACAAGTACACACGTTGTTAAGGTCTGCAGGCAAGTCCCTTATACAACACCCTCTTAAGCGTCTATTTATCTAACATAATCCAACATAACCTAACTATAGACGAAATTATTAGGCTAGACACTAGACTGTAATTTTTCCTTATTTCTTTTCGAAATGCCCGGTTTCTCACCCTGTATTTATCTGTTTATCATTAAAACAACTCGAAAAGTAAAAAGTGTTTAATTTCGACTTTGATTCCGTACTATTATTAGATTTAACATAAAAAAAATGTACACAAATTTAAAAAATTAAAATTTGAACAATTTTTAATGTATTAATAAATTAAAAGGATACAATTTAGAAAAAATAGACAAAATTTAACATGAAAAAAACATTTTATAAAATAAAAAAAAAAAAAACTGAAAATTCGAGTTAGTACCAAACTGCATTATTAGTTATTACATATTTTGTTCCCATATTCTATGTTATCAGCTACTAAAAAGGTCGTCTGTGCAATATTTATTTATGCATATCAACTTTTTCTTATCAGACATTGATAGCATATAAGATAAATTGATTAAACTAATTTTTTTTTTTTCTGATTGGGGTGGCTCTCACAACCCTACTCCCCCCCACCCGTCCATGCCCTGGCGTGGCTGGTATCTGAGTACAGACACGAATATTACAATAAACCCAACCTAACCTTTGTGGAATTATTATTATTATTATTATTATTATTATTAAGTATTGCATTTCTAATTGCATTAAGACCATTACGCTGATAAGGTTTTGGAAAGCGTGAAACGGCTTGCAAACGCCGGTGCCATAAAAACAAATTATTCCATTAACTAATTTTGCTCTTTCGTTCGATATATATTATAACATAGCGAGTAGGTGCTGAATGTGAATTATAAATTAAAATAATGCGAATATTATATATGAAACATAATATTCAAATTACAAATTTACAATAGCTTTACGTGCCTTACTCATAGACGACGACAAACATGTGTTCACGTGTTGTATTCAGTTTTTACACACACACACACACACACACACACACACACACACATACTCTTATAATATAATAATAGTATTTTATTAATACGAGTAACTTATACAGTGGTTTACAATTGAACGTAATAAAAAATATAAATTATTAAGTACCTACCTATAATATCGTATTTCTGTTTGAATGTCCCCATAAATGTCAACCGTATACCTACTTCTAATATTGTGTCGATTCATTTGAATATCAGACATTATTATAATGTACATAATACTACAGATTCTAGGTTTATTAAAATAATATGAATACGTAAAACGCTGTTGTCGTTAAGTCTATTTGAATATTACATAGTTACTATTCGGATACTATTATTCAAATACTTTTATGGTAGTATTCACTATTCTGGTGGTTTTCAAATTGTTAAATACTTGTATTTGAGAACAATACAGAATGTGTTAAAGTGTTAATTTTTCATAAACGGCCAAACAAAGTTGAGTATCTATAAAAATCGAAGTATAGGTACAATGCAATAATAACTAATAACCTAATACCATTTTGAGTATTTGTATTCAAATATTTTTTAGATAATTGTCAAAAACATTTTTCAGATGGTATTTATAATATTTTGTATACTAAAGCGAGACTGTATGATAGTTTATAGTTTCCTGGGTCACTTATTAAATATGCCATTACTGTGAATGACATTTTCCATACGGCGCTACGTCCTCGAACTTTGTTAGTTCACTTATTGGTCGTCTTTATAGATTCAAAATTATAGGAAATAGTGTTTAAAATAAAATTTGGTTTAACAATTTATGGTTCACCTAGAACTTCTACTGCATAAACTTGGCCTTAGCAATTCATCTCACTCCAAACCTTTATAGTCATAAGTTCAAGCCACCGAGTGATCACTTCTCACACGTCATTTTCGGTTGTCACTGTTGGCTGTCCTCTAAATATTCCCTGTTACGTTATTTTTATAATCCATAAAAATATTTCGTTGTCTCCTCTATATTATATCCTTAGGTACTTACTCCTAACGCTAATCACCACCGTGTTACTGAACTCTTTTAAATTATGAATTTTACGATTAGGTGTGTTTTTTAGATTCTGAATATATTGGTTTTACTATGATGTGTTTTTTTTCTGCCTGTTAACAACTTTTTACCAGAAATCTTACTCCAAACAAAAAATAACAAGAGATCTTTTTTGTTGCTTTTTAAATTTAGTTAGTTTTTATTGTTGTTATTGTAAATCGACTAAAAATATACGTAGATACGTTATATAATCACAGAATACTTATATTAGACGTTTATAGACGTGATTCAAAAAAATTGAGCTAATTAAATTTTTACGAAATGTGTAAAAATTATGTCATTCAGAAATATATTGTACAACTGAATAAGCTCAGAATTATATTTCAATGGTTAACCTTTGCTTATAAATATAAATCAAACAACTTTATGTATGCTACCTTAAATATACAACTTTCCCTTATTAGCTCATTTATATTCGGAGCGAAGCGAAGGGTCTATTGGTTCCACTATGTGTTTATTTTTTTTTTTTTTTGTAAGCAACTTTTTAAACAGAAAACTTGCTCCGAAGTATCTAGTATAACACCTTTTCTGAAAGGAAATTTTACCTAGTAGGTGTTATGAGGAGTTGAATTTTTGATTTTCCAAGGAGTTTTCAAAACAACTGGGAAAAACTGAAAACAAAATTATATAAAAAGTGAAAAATATTTACGGTGTTATGTACCGATTTCATTGTTTTTAATTTTTACGAACAGTTTTCTACTTGAAGGCCTTTTTTGTTGCACAAAGAAAATGTTGTCTAATTTCTGAATAAGAAAGTAATTGTTTGATTTTCCGTAATTGTATGGTTTTCATAATAATTACGAAAAACCTGAAACAATTTAAGAAATGTAGCATTTGGGTTTTTGTTGATATTCGGTTAAAATTTATTCTAGAGACCTTTAGTTTTCACTAAATACTTAAGTTGGCCTTTTGTAGATGTGTTAAAATATTTAAAATATTCTAGCTATTTTTACACTATATATAGATATTTGATATTTTCGTATTTTTATGTACCTTTATTGTTATTTGGTAAAAATATGTTATTCAAATTATATGACCTCAGACAAATGGTTGAAAATTTAACACAAGGAATATTGTAAGTTATACTTAGTGGTTTAAAATACAAGTATGAGTTTAATGCATTAGATTGTTTTTAGAAGCATTTTAATATCAAATTTTAACGAAAGTCGTAAAAAATACGACATTTTAAAATATGTCTCACTGAACTTCCCTCCAAATCACTTTTGGTTAACAATAATTTATCCTTGTGTACAGATATAAACTAAATAACTTATTATGTATTCTACATTCCAAACTTCTTAAATACAACAGTGGCTGTACCCGTCCCCAGTATCAACTCTTTTTTTTTGGATTGCTTTTATCGTAAGTTTGTATTATTTCTTCATAAACTATTGTATATCTTGACAATTTTTTTTTTTTTGTGTTGATCATACAATAATTAAAAATATTTAGTTTTAAGTTTAATTTGAAATTCAAAACAATAATATTCTAAACAAATGAACATACAAAATTATTTAATATTAATAGCACAGAATTTACTTCTTATTAGTTTTAAATTATTATTTTCATTTCAAAATTATATTAGTGTATAAAATAATATGTACATATATGGTAATATAATATAATATGTTTATGACTTCAATCTAAATACTCATTCTACTAGAATGGATTTTATTAGCTAATAATTGTTTAGTTGTTATTTATTTTTTTTCTTGTACTTCCTTTCACTTTAACTGTTATCTTAACATTGATTTAGACTTTAAAATGTTTTATTTTCCAGTTTTATTATTTTATCAACTTTAAGTGAAATATTCAATTCACTCAAGGATAATAATACTGATTTATCATGGCATGATTTTTTAGACTTTTGTATGTAATCTAAAGATTCTGATAAGTTGTTGAAAAGAACCAAGTGTTCTGTATAGTGGTATTTAGCTAAAGAATGTAGTCTAGTTCTTAAAATATTATATACTTCATTCTTATTAAACTGTGGTAAAGACAATTTCATTAATTTAAATACCAATTTAAAATAATTTTCAGCTATATTTTGTTGATTGGTTTTGGAACAGTAAACTGCTTTAAAAGTGCATGCATCCATCACTGAATGTATTATGATTGGATCATGTGTTTGTTTACTAGTTATTATACCATTACAAAATTCAGCAATAGTAATTTGTGTATTTCCATTATTTACCCGTTTTAAGAAAGGAGATGCCATTCTGTTCATTCTTGGATTTGTTATGCATCGATAATCTGATAATGGAGAGTCCGAAATATTTGGAGGACTGTTTATAGTTAATTTTTGAATCTTTAAATCATCTTCTTTAAAATCAAGTAAAGTCATGACATGTTCAAATTGCTGATTAGCGTTTTCAAAATTGCAACACATTAATTCATTCCAACAATTCATTAAAAACACATTTAATGCTCTTTTACTTAAAACAAACTTCAATACAATATTCATTTGAACTTTTAAGAAACAGCGAGCTTCAATTGGTTTGAAAGAATTTATACAAATCAAATTCAAATAGAAACATATATTTAATATTACAAAATGAATAGCTAAATATTCATAGAAAGAATCAAGTCTTTTAATAAGACCCTGTGCAAGATTGTAAGCTTCAATACATGTACAGAGACATATATTATTGTCAAATATTCCTGATTCAAAACATAAACGACTTTTCACATAAGAATATTCAATCATTAATAAAATATTTTTGTTTACTTCTCTGTCATCAATATTCTCTAACAAAATTTTTACATCATTAAATTTTGATTTGTTTAAGAGAGAAGTAGCTAACATCAATTTATAATCAATAGCCATTTCAGGTAAGTAGTTAATTATATTTTCCAATTCTAAAACATCTGCTTCACCAATTTTTACTAATTCAGAAAGTGCTATAAAAATATGTTTGTGACACATATTGATTGAAGCTAATTTATACAATAGTTTCCAAACGTCCACTTCTTTTGGATCACAATGTAGTTTAAATATAAAAGCAACTTCTTGGAGACTTCTGTACAGTATTTTAATGTTATATTCATCTTTAATTGAATCATTTATTGAAACAGACCAATTCTGAACAGCCGAATTCAAACAATTGAAAAGCTTTGGTTTAATTTTTAATGGCAATATCCAAGACATTGGCTCATACTGTATACCATTATATTTCTCTAAATCACTTTCCAACCGTTCTTCTGAGTATGAATCCAATTCTTTACAAACAAGGTTCTGTAAATGTTTAAATAAACATATAAAATGTGCATAATATAAATTACCTAACATCAATGCCATATTTTTTTTTTCCAGTAATGTTTCTACTTCTAGTTTACGAATGTAGTCATCCAATACACCAGTAACAGTTTTTAAACCATCTGTACTATTTGAATGAAGTATTATGTATGAGGTTGTAATAATGACTTGACACTTTAATTCTCTTGGTAATTTACAGCCAATTAATTCAGCAAATAATTCTAATACAGCAGAAATGTCTTGTTTTATTTTATTTTGATTATTATGTGCTTTTAATTCTAACCACATTATTTCAATACGGTCTGACTTTTTTAAAGTGTATTCTGACCATTGTTTTTTAGATTTATAATTATTTTCAATCATTTTCAAAATTGTATGTTTAATAGGACGTAAATTAATTTCTTCCTTGCATTTAAGATAAACCCATTGCTTAGCAGCTAATTTAGAACGAGTACATACACACCAATATGCAATACAACTTAAAGCTTCATTAGTTTGGTTTGTTTTGTACAAATACTGAGATAGGATAACTGCTACACGAGCCACACAATCTGGATCAATACCATTAGGCTCAAGTATTAATAAAACATTTTCAAGAAAATTTAAATTTATATACATTAACTTGTCAGAAGTTTTACAAGTACAGAGATTATAAATACTTGTTAATGAAAATTCAAAAAACAGAATTTTATTTGCACAATTTGATTTATTTATTCGATCGAATAGTGAAATAAACAATTCCATCCACTTTAAGAGATCATCTGTATTTAAAAATGTATCATTTATAGTTATTATGTATCGTGTTATATTAAATGCAACATTAATCAAATTAATTTCTGATATTGAATCCTCATTGAGATCACAATTACTATTTTTACAGCATAACTTATCAATTCGATTGTGTTTACTTAAACTAACTAAACACTGTAATAGTTTAAATAGTAGTAAAACTGTATTAGAAGAGTGAATGATCAATTTTTCAAACCATTCATATTTTAATTTTATAATGGTATCAATGGCAGTCTTGAACACATAATATAATATTGTATTTGGTAATACAGGGATACATTCATACAATTGAACAAAATTAATCATTTTTGTAAGTTCTAAATTTAAATTAAGATCATTTTTAACTGAAATGTCAATAAACTTGAATAATATTATGAAAAATGAAAACGCTTCTTTGTCATTATTATTCAAAACACATTTATCCATTATTAATTCAAGATGCTGGATTAAAAAATGAACATGCATTTGTTTGTGTTGCATCATGTTTTGCATAACTGCTGCAATACTGTCAATTAACATGGAATATAAATGTGTTTTATTTGCAATATTACATTTTTTTCTAAAAACACTAGAAGACAACACAGATTTCAAAGTCATATCCAAAATAACTAAATCCATAGATTGATCCTCATGTAATATTGATCCATTGATATTTTTTATAATCAATTTTAATGAACATAATACATATTCAATTTCTTTTTCAGTAAAACATTTTACTAAGTTTAATACCTCATCCCACACCAGTATAACATTTAACTTCTTTAAACTGTCATCAATTGGACATGTCTTATGTATGTAATGTGCAAATAATGGAATTAAATCCTTTAGAATAACACAAATAGGAGATGATTTTCTTAAAAGATAATTACTGAAATTAACAGCTTTACTCACGTGATTATTCAAAAGTAAATATCTGATAAATACATATAAACTATTTCCGAATGATTGCAATTCAGATAAAGCCATCAATTTAAGACAATGTTCAGCAAACTGAATGATAAAATTAGCATTATTTTCAGATTTTGTTTTTTGATTATTTAATTGAGATTGTAATTTTTGTGCCAAAGTACAAAATACACCAACTATGCAATTTTGAAATCCTTTTATATCCTTTAAATTGTTGTAATGAATATTAAAAGTATCAAATGCTCCTTTTATATTGCCCTTGATAATATTACTTTGTATCATTTGATAAATTTGGGTTAACTCATCCATATTCTGAAAAATATTCATAAAATAATATCACAATGAGTACCTATTAATAGAATAGTTTAATTATAAATTAATTAATCAATCCAAATTAGCACCTACCTATGATTAACCATCATTATCTATTTTATTTTTATAGTCAAAACAAAGTATTATTACAAATAATTAGTAGATAACTACAAAGATATACTGAAGTAATAAATTTAAATTAATAGTTATTGCTCTGAAAATCAGTATCTGTAATCAGTATATTTGTTTAGAGTTCTACAGCTTGATAGATTTTTAAACTAATGGAAATTGAATACCAAAAAAAAAAAAAATGGTAGAAACATTTTAGATAGAACAGCCCACTGAAATAGGTATATAGTATAAAGACATATAGGTATACCTTATAAAATAATAATTATGAGGAGGTATTTATGCACAAACATTAAAAAAAAAACTATACAAGACAATTAAATTTTTTAACTATTGGTGTAGGTAAATAATTTGTGAAAACCTAATTTTTTATTGTGAATTTAATTTTAAAAAATAATAAATAACTAAATCTATATAAATGTTTATACATTTAGATTAAGATATGTATGTAACACTAGCATCGGTTTTTCCTAAATTATAACTTTTTGTCTAATTACCTTTCGTTATTTATTAAGTGACAAATATGTATACTAATGTATTCTTCAATTATGTATAGATATAAAAAATATAATATACATAGTGTTTAAACTTAATGAAAAACAAAATGATTTTCAAAGACTGCACACAACTTTAAGCTTATTAATTTTAATTTGTTAAAATATAATAAATTGATCATTAGAGTCTTGACCTCGACGAATGACGACTGAGAACTGATAATAATATTTTTATATTTATTTATTATTTAATATTTTTGTAACAATAACGATTATTTAAACTGTTATCACTTATAAACAATTTAAAATCCTATGTTATCAATATTTAATTAATCATATTGTATCTGTCATCTGATATTCTAATTAATTAACCTTAAACCCCAAACTCTTAAATCTCTAGCTTCTATGTGCGTTCACTTTGAACGCTTACAAAATGTTTACTTTGGTTTACGTGTTTATAATTGATTTGCTTACTGTTTCAATTACAAAATGAACAATTATTTGCATGTGTAATCGTTTGGAGGGGAGGGGGCTATAAAACAGCCCAACCGTATTTTAACCGACTGTATTTAAGCCGAACATAAAATGATTAGAAAATATTTAAGCAAGCCGAAAATAAAATAACGGTATGTATATTAGCCGAAACGCCCGAAACCCGACTAATTATCAACTTGTAAATTTGTATCATTGTTTTTAATCAGAAAAGGTTGAATTAGAAAACTTTGAAATTTGAACTTCGATATTTTGAACAAAAATTGGAAAATTGAAAGAACGTGCAAATTTTGAGTTATAATTTCGACACAGTTTTGAACAAACAAAAAATAATAATACGACAAAATTTTGAATATTTTCTATGAAAAAAATATACATTATTTACCTATTTAAGTTTTAAAATATTTTTATTTTGAATTTAAACCATTTGTAGCCATTTAAATTATTCAAGTGTAAACATCCACTTCGGTGCACATGTTGGATTTATTGTCAAAACTAAACCAATATACTTTCCAATTAAATTCATTGATTAAAATTTAAATAACATGGAAGTGGGTTACTTGGGACATCAGCTGCTTAACTCGTTTTTCATTTTAAAATAATATGTTCGGAATTTCTTTTCTTTATATTTATTTATTATCACGCGTTATCGTTTTTTGGAAGATTTGATCTTAATACCTTAATACCTTATCTCTTTATTACAACCGACTATAATATTTTTCGGCTTAGATACGGTTGGGCCAAAATACTGTTCAGCTGATTTATTTTCGGCTTTTTACGTACTCCCGATCGTTTGTACGTGTTAACAAAAATATACCGATAACAAAATAGTAATTATCGAAATATTAGGTATTATTAATAGGTACAGATTTTAATATTGTGAATTTCCTTTTAATATAAAATTTATTTATATTACCTATATACACATATAAAAATATTAGCAAACAATAATATAGGGGATTACTATTACAAAGTTACTTTTAACAAATTAACAAAAAAATGAATATATTTAATATAAATTATCTAGGTATAATATGTTAATTAGGTAGCTATTACCTCACAGCTATATTATACATAAGTATACGAGTATATTCTTCATTTTCTTCTCCTTCGCCTTCTTCCCAACTATTTGGGTTCAGCCACCTTCTTCCTAAACTTCCAAATGATCCAATCCCCCACATCGTCCTCCAGTACCCCCGCTGTCCTCATATCATTCTCAATCATATAAACTATCTCACTCTATTTTCTCTTATTTTATCTACTATCGAAGGCACGCCTAAGCTAACTTTTGTGTACTTATTCCTTGTCCTATCTTCTCTCATCATTCCACTCATTCACCTATACAAATACGATTACAGACACTCTATAGTATAAAATGTAATAATATGAAACACATAATATGTATATTTTTAATAAACAAATAAAAAATAAATCGATTTTATTTTTTTCCTAATATGTATAATAATTTGACTCGATGACGTAACGCTCAGATTTAGAGACACCATGGTCTGAGTGCTATCGAACGTCAAACCCATAGTTGAATATTTATAATTTATAATATACATTTATAAGCTGGCCAGTGGCCACACACTATAGTTTTATTCGTCTGTCAGATGTGGTCAGTGCTGTACCTACGAATATTTTTAATTTTTATTCTGGAGCCTGTAGGTTGTTATCGTATTGATAATACTACTGTCGAGCTATTATTGTCGTTCAGAGCCCGTGTTCTCGTGGTTTTTATTTTTCTTAAAAAGTTTCCATATATACACTCATCGATTATTATACAGAATGATTATTTTATCATGATTCAATGAAAATCCATTTACATAGATTTCGAATGAATTATAGATTACGATATATATACTTTTTTGTTCAATAATTTGATATCATTTTATTATGATCTGATTTAAGAAATATTGCGACAATGAGACGTATACCGTACAAAATAATATACTTACGGTGCTCAAAGTGTTCTCAAACAGAAAGAGGTGTAGATTTTAGAATATTATAATTTACGAACATACCTACCTACCTACTTATAAGCCTGCTAGCTACTATATAGATAACGTGAAACATAATTTTCCGAATGATTCTGACCCGAATCGTTTTCTTCCCGACACCCACCCTTTATATATAACATATATATATATATATATATATATATATTATATAAACTCACCCCGGCTCTTTGTTTCACTGCTTTCGAATCGCCCTAGGTAAAATAACGTTTTCAACCCTTTGCATAATAAATGAATGAATAGACGGGAAGTGCAGGATGCCATTATTCCCATGTATAAAATATACATTTATTATGTACATAGATGTATATGTACACGCGTGGATATAGACATTGCTAAATATATAGATATGATCACAACTGTTTATTCCATAGCTTTTCATGGAGATAAAACTCAGCTGGCAGTGATATTTATTACCAGTTAGAAGTTAACGGGAATCACTGCCAGTGGCGGCCATTGTATCTGTGTATCACAAAGTTGTGAACATTACCTATATATACTTAGCCATGGATATAGATATTATAACGGTATATTCTAAGCATGATTGGAGCACGGCGAAGCTTCAACGACTGATTAGATACAATATAAATTTTTAAAATCTTTAAACGCTTTCGCCTCGCTTAAACGAAATACAACAAAAATTATGCCCGTAACCTATAACTTCTCTTGATCGTTTAAAATTTAAATATTATATTATATTTTCGAACTCACATTTATTTAAAAAGGTTTCACGTGTATGAGTATTTCATACAGAATACAGAGATTATAATCGTTCTGTTGATCTATTTTATATTCTATATTAATATTATAGCAATAACAGTATACTTACACATATGTTACGTAGTTGTCACTGGTTGTCAATGATGCGGTGCACGCGACCAATAAACTAAACGAAAAAAAAAATCACATAACTATTAATATTCTTTTTTCAAAGTTAATATTCTTTTTGGATTATAGGTATATCATTGCATAACAACGATTTTGACGTTTTGTTTTGTTACTTTTTAATAAACCAGATCGTTATACTTGTGTTTAATATACATAATATATTATACGCAATGGCGGCTCGTAGTAGTTTGATATGGTAGCGTGATACAATTTCTTTTAAGTGCCACTACTGGCCGTTGTCTCACCGCGGGAGGATCAATCGTAAGTAGGTCGGTACCTAAATTTATGATTTGACACACCTGTTTAAATTTACTTCGGTTTCACTGACCAATAATAATAAATACGCGTATTACTCATAACATTCGTAACATATTATACCTGTTTACATGTAAGGTAAATTTATAAAAATAAATAATATTATTTCTTTAGTTATTAATAGATATAAATACTATTAATAATATCAAGCTCGTTGTGCTGAAAATGTGAAACGAGAATTTATCACACGCATAATCACTAAAGTATTATATTCTATTCCAAATAAGTCTGGAAAAATCGCGCAGATACATGCGCTGCCATTGGCTACATTTATCGGCACTCGTCGTTACTCTTCGTGATCGGTCGGCGGCCGGAGCTCGTCGTCGTGTATAAAGACGATTACAATAACAATGGTTCGAACATAATACGCGGATATAATATATACGCGGAGTAGAACGTTGTTCACAGCTCGTATGTACGCGGAATGTTGACTCCGCATCGGATTATATTATAATATAGTGATTCGAATAAAATTAAATATTAATTTTACTAATTTTAAATTCAGAGTATGGCCAAAAAGTTGTAATAGTTTTACTAAGGGCCCGTTTTACAATAATAGTTTAATCTTGACCCAGAGTTGAAGCCATGGTCAAATGGAAAAAAAACTGTATTACAATTAATTTGATGCATGCCAAAAGGGACCTTACCGGATGTTTGACTAAAACGACGGATTTTGAGTTTTGGACGTACCTACATCGTTTTGTACAAGAACGGAACTTACGAGTTATGATATCATGTTGGTATTGATACATTTGGCCAAAAAATTAATTTGTTGTTTTTTGTTTTGTATATTCTAACAAAGAGTTAGGAAGTTTTTTTATATTATCTCAAAATGAAATTGGTGCATGTACCGAATCAATTGATTATCCGTAATTTAATCAGAAGTTAGACCAGTAATTGTTGAACCACTGATTCAGTGAGTTATCCTTGGTTCAAAGATGAACTAAAATTTGATTGGTTGTTGATTAATGTTAATAACGAATAAATATAGATTATTTAAGAATACTTTATACGGTACAACGTGGCGTGTTAACAATGCACTACTATTCAGTTTCATTTGTACACCCCACCAAAAATTATAAAATTAATTTTCTAATTGTGGATGCCAGCGTTACCGCCCCAAACTCTATCCACATTTTTTAATATTTTACTTATAGACTCGCAAACCATACCAACGATTGTTATACAGATATGTAAACATAAAATGTTTCATTTGTATATCCACTAGGTATTTCACAGAAGCCATTTGAAAATAGTGAATGCTAGCGTGACGTTACGCTAACAGCCTCATTTTTTTTAAATATTTAACCTATTGACTCAAAAACCATACCTACAATTGTTATAGATTGTTATATCGATTATACAGATTTGTGATCATAACATTTTCATTTGCACACCCACTCAAACCCTATAAAATTAATTTTATAACTGCGGGTATCAGTGTGACGTCACGCCAGTACCTAACCTTTCAAATCGCTTTTATAAATGTACAAATGAAAATTGTATAATTACAAATTTGTACAAACGATATAAAACAATAGTTGGTATGGTTGGTAAGTCGAAATTTCAATATACGTGTGCCAGCGTGATGCGAGCTCTATACTATAACTATTCCCCGATTCAAACTTAAAAATAGAATATCTTGTAAATGGATAGACAGAAATGAAAAATATCAATACCAAAATGTATTTCAATTAATACTATATAATATATTTATGGAATATAGGTTGCCATTTAAAAATCAAAAGCAGGTTATAGTGGTTTTACCCCCAAAAATAAGGGTGACAAAAAATAACATGAACGTAAAATTGTAAGTTGCTTGTTTCTTAAATGTTCTATAAAACAAATTCTGAAAAAAGTTAATACTTTCCAAAATAATGAGTGTACCCACTTAAATGGATTACCTCGTATACAATGCACTTATTCAAAAATCTATAAACTTTCAAATTATCGAGCAAATTTATTTCTTTGCAAAGCTGCATCATTATTAATATTACTAGCAGTTATATTATCTTCATCAACAGACACTATAACTCAAATAATAATGAAATAATTCGAAAAATAATGAATAATTAATTAAACAAAGAGACCGATCAAGTTCCACTATCATCACAAAATACCACAATCAAAGTATTTTTACAGTGGATACTACACTCATCGCAAAAACCAACGGTTAAACCACAGTTCACTAGAACCTAGTAAAATCTGTGGATTGTAATACCCGCAAAAAGTTAACCTAGGAGTCAGTTGACAATAAAGGTTCAGCAGAACTCGAGTTAAACCGACAATTGTAAAACGGACCCTAAGGCATTTAATACTTTTTCGATTGATAAAAGTACTTTGATTTATTCAAGCCGTATATACACTAAAAGACGCGGAATTTCCGCAAGGCGGTACTTTACTTGGAACTCTTTTTGAAATAATACTTAACAGTTTATCCCTTCGATTTTTTTTATACTTTTATTTTCTTTGATACTTCAAATTGTTTATATCATACCTTAAAATAACAGATTTCTTTTACATGGTGGTACTTTAATTGAACGCATTTTCTAGATTCCCCGGTCTTTCTTAAGAATTCAAAACATTCCGGGGTACTTTGTCAACAAGGTAAAAACATGAATAAATAAGTATAACGCATATAACGTTGAAATTAGTTTAACGAGCTTCGCTTCTCAGAATGGTTTTTCGATTGTAATAATGTATCGTTAATTCGGTGTATAAACCAAATTATATCTCGAAGTCTATACTTTCCCAAATTCCTACTTTTCCATTACGGTGCAGAGTATTTCCGGATGGTATGTTTCTAAAAATATTAATTATTAAACGTTTTATATTATAATAAATACGTATTACCTTTCTCTTTTGGTTTACGGTTTTATTTTCGTAATACATTTATTTCTTAAGCATACCAATCCGGCTATCCAGTAAATATCAACGGAAAGAAAATCTTCAAATTATAA